GTGACTGGCCATCAAGCTTCACTGCTTTGGTTCCTGTGTTCATGATTCAGACTTACTGTTACTTCGTTAAAGATGGACTCATCGTTACAGCTGATCTCCCTTTGAAACATTCCACCAGAAAGGCACAGAATAGCTTAGCCTGGTAACAGAAATGGCAGGTTTTCAAATGAGGGTTCAGTACAATGTCTTATTTGAAAGTATTCTTATTCAGGCTCCTGCTCCTGGCGGTGAAAACTCTGCTGTTAACCTGCCCAAGGTGGAAGAATCCCAGGACAAAAAGGCAGCGCCCACTGATGCCTCATCCACAGCTGTGCCAAAAGGATTTGTCCAATACCTCTCTGACCCAGAGACCCAGGAAGGTGACCCCGTGGAAGACTTCCCTGTGCATCTGGATCTAACCACGAATCACCAGCGAGAGAACTTGGGTACCTCCTTTCCCTTCATGGGGCCTGTGAGGGAGACCCTGCCGGTGCTGCCTTTCCCCTCCAAAGAACATCGCTCTTCTGAGTGCCCAGGACCAGCCGAGGACCCCAACCCTCTTCTTCTTCCTCCATGAGAACCACATCAAGGATCCTGTGGTCATGTGGTGGGAAAAGGGGAAAGAGAAAATGCAAATGTAGAAAGTTGGTAATAAATATCTCTTTGACTCTTCTTGGTCTGGCATGTTGGCTGGATGTAGAAACAATGCAGTCAGTTGTCCACTGTGCCTGGGCCGCCTCCTAAACCTCCAAAGCCTGGGCCATGGGGAGACGGCTGTCTTGTCTGTCTCTCACTGATACTTTTACCCTTTCATCTATGAACATGCTTAACTCTTTCTATGATGACAATTCATCAATAAGAATCTTTCCCTAACACCAAGTTGTACAAGTACGGGAGACCCAGCAGGGGGCTGCAGTCTCTCTGCATCCCTTTCAGGCCCAGGGTCCCTGACTGAGTATGCCCTGTGCCATTTCCAACCGCTGCCACTTCTCTGCCTGGAAATGGGTAGGTCTCAAAGTTGGGGTGACTCAAGAGAAGGATATATGGGCTGTGTTAAGCACCTGGGAACACCAGCCCACAACAGTTTTTATTATTTAAAATTTCTCTGCGGACAGGTAGTAAAGGGACCATGGTGACATTCAGTCTTTCCCCATAGTTACAAACTGTAGGACAAATTCTCTCTCAGCACATGCACACACACACACATACACACACACACACACTCACACACAGTGCTCTGTGAAAGATACTGATGTTCTGATGAAGAATTTGCAGGTGGAATCATTAGCTTCCACCCTGGCAGGTGTTACCTAAAAGAGACCGATGGGCTGTGGCATCACATGCTGCTCTTACCTGATTCCTATAAGATAGAGAAATGATTCTGTGGAGTGTGTCAGACCCCACAGCCCCTTTTGGTGTCTGGCAGGGTCACAGTTGCACTCCTGTGGCTCAACTCAAGACGTTTGGGTGGAGGGACTTCAGAGAAGCCTGTGGGCCCAGTGAAACCACCTAAGGGTTGGGGGGCAGCTGCTGGAGAGCAGCCCCAGGGAGTCTTTCCCACCCCACGCCTTCCAAGGCAGTGGGAGGAGTCGCCTCACCCCAAACCAGGGAGCTGGTGCTGTGGACAGGGACCCCTATTGGAGGGAGGCCGCCATTGCCAGGTGCTGGTGAAAGCAGAAGCAGGGAGTAAACACTCTGACCTGTCCCTCTCTCCCTCTGATCTCCTGGACCACTGGCTCTTTGACCTAGCAGTAAACTTGCCAGCAGGAAAGTCCATTCTCCTAAGACAGCTAGGAGAGGAAGAAAGGAGCATATCAGGTTAAAAGAAAAGCTACTTTCAGCCCACGAGGATTTTCCCAGTGGTGCTCCTTAACCCCTGCGTTTACTGAAGAAAGATTGCAGAAGGCCCTTTGACGTTGCATTCCTTGTTCCTTGACAAGAGTGCCAGCGATGAGACAGAGGATGTAGGAAGAGAAGTGGGTTTGACTGGGGAGTTGCTGAGTTGATTTTATTAAATTTAAAGGAAGCAATGTCAGTCACTTTCAGTCATCACCAATGCTAACTCTTGCTCTTATTCAAACTTCCCCCATATCTTCCCCGTCCTTCTCCTACCCTTCTGCAATGTCCCCTAACGCCATTAGGTTTCTCTTTGGTTCATTCTTCTAGATGTTTTTTCCAGAGTCTAATCTTCCTGTCTTACTCTGCAAACTCCACCAGGCCAATTAATCCAAGTCCTGCCTATCATCTCAAAGTGCTGCAGTCATTGAAGCATTTGAGGTCCCTGTGTCAAGTAAATCAATGATTTACATATTGCTGGCATTAATGCAATGCTAAATTGTTATACGGTATTAAAAATTCTCTTTTAGGGACTCTCCCAGTGACGAGTGGGCTAAAGAACAGCACTAAGAAGCTAACGCCTCTTCAGCATGAGTTTGATCCCCAGCTCTGAAGGTGACCCACACACACAGCAGACCTCTCCTGACTGGCCCACTGCTCCCCTCAGCTGTGTAATTCATTGATCTGACTGTTCTGCTCCCCACTCTGTCTCTCGTGAAGCCTCTCACCATCCCTGTACCTCTGGCCTGTACCCCAGTTCTGTATGCATAAATACATAAATATTTTTTTAAAAAATGTCATATTCAGAAGGACCTGATTTAAAAATGGGTAAAAGATTGGAGCAGACATCTCCATAAAAACAATATAGTTGGCACTCCCACTAAGAAGCTAAAGCCACTTCAACATGAATTGGATTCCCGCCTGCCCCGGAGGTGACCACATAGTGCAGCAGACCTCTCTTGACCAGACCGCTGCTCCCCTCATCAGTATGCTTTGTCGACCTGCCTGTTCTGCTCCCCTCTCTGTCTCTGGTGAAGCCCCTGAGCTTCTGGCCTGTTCCCCAGTTCTGTATGCACAAATAAATAATCTTAAAAAAATAAAAAAGACCCAACAATATACAACAGCAAATTAAGCGCATGAAAGCATGTTCCATATATCATTAGGAGTGAAAGCTTAAAACAACCATCTGAACCGATGATGGCTAGAATATGAAGCAACAGGAAAGTTTGTTCACTGCTGTTGGGAATACAAAATGATACTGTTACATTGGAACACGGATTGGCAGTTTCTTACAGTGCTAAGCATACTGTTACTACAGAATCCAGGAGTCGTGCTCCTCCTTATTTACTCAAATGATTGAAAACTCACTTCCACTTAAAAATCTACACTTAAAGTGCTTATAACAACTCTCTTCATAATTGTTGAAACTTATTGCTCAGTAGTTTAATAGACAAACTCTGGTCCATACAAGGAATGGAACATTATTCAGTGCTAAAAAGAAATGGACTGTCAATCCATGAATGATAAAGGAATCTATTAGAGATGATTAAATAGAGTAACATTAGAAAGTTAACAATGTGTGAACATTTTAAAATATATTCTTAAATAACCAAATTGTCAAAGAAGAAATCACAATGAAAATTAGAAAATACAGTGAGGTGATTAAAAACAAAGCATACATAAACTGTGTGTAGATGTGACCAGAACATTGTTCAGGGGGAAAATTGTAAAAGTATATGCTTATGTTAACACAGAAAATTATTTCAAATGAATACCTTCAGGGAGTCCATACTAACTAAATTAAGAAGTAGGAAAAAAATTACTGATAATAAATTGACAATTATTAAATGCTGAAGGCATGATAGAAAACCAACATGATTAGAAAACCAACATTGCATCCTCATTGTAATAACAACTTTGGGTAAGAAGTATCAACTCATTTTAAAACTATTAAGAGAAAATTTTATATAAATAGATTCTTTTTTTATCTTCAAAATATCTCCCTCAGGGCTACTTATGAATTATTGGTCATTAATAAGGACTTATTAATTAACACAATTATTTTAAGTTAACAGTTAAAATTAGTAATAATTATTATAAATTAAGAAGAGGCTGTTGGGGAGCCCTGGAGATGGGGTCTCCTACACTCTGCTTAATTCAAGGAAATCAAACAAGAATAAATCAACTCCACAAATGCCCCTTTAGAAACATTTGGTCTCAGATGCCCTCCTCCAGGTGAAGCACTTGCAGCTGAACTGGGCAGAGGCTTCCTGGGGTCTGTCAGGAAAAAAGACGAGCCAGCCCTGCGCCCCTCTGTTACAGAAAGCATCAGTGGCCTTCACTGATGTTTCAGAATTTGGAATTTATAGTGTCAGATTCTTGAAAAGAACAAAGAAGGGGGCAGGGAGAGGGAGAGTGTGTATTTCCATGCAGAAAGTTGCACAGAGCTTGAGAAATTGTTCCATAGATTTTCTGAAAGTCACCTTCCTTATTTCAAAAATAAGATTAAAAAAAAAAAAACAAAACACCTCTGTGAGCATGGGTAGAAATGGGGTATTTGTAGTGATAGGATAATTTCTATTTATCTCCCTTCCCATGAGATGTCCTTCTGACATGTGAGTGATGATGTCTTATCAGAGAATTGTGCAGGGTCAGAGACTGAAGTGTCCTTTGACATTGGGCAGGAGGCCAGGCCCCCCCACCACCCTGCTTCCTGTAAATGACACAACCACATCCTGAAAAATTTGGTGGCAGGCCTGAAACCATGCAGGCGACCCTGTTGGAACCCCAACCTTCCAGCCACTCTATGAGGGGGCGGTGTTTGCTGTTCTCTTTCTGGTGGACTTTGCAGAGTCAACACTCAGGGCAACAGCCTCTTACCCACTAACTACAGGGCAAGGCCAACAGTCGCCCCCACAGTTTGCTCCATTTCCTGCGCATGTGCGGTTGCTGGTCCCCTAGGTTTGCCTGGAGGCCAAGTCCTCAGGGAGGAAGGTCTTTCACCCTTCTCCTGGTGCTGGCCTGGGAGCTCGACGCACCTGTGCTGTTGTGGAAAGGCCGTCCTGCTGGAGCTCCTGAGAGGACTCTCCCACAACCTGTGACTTCAGCATAGGTACAGTTGATCCCTCAGACAGCCACGTTCATCATTCATGAAAACAGACACAGTGTCTATTTTATAAGACTGAATGAGAGGGAGAATCGAAGACACTCACAGGTTGGGTGGGCAGCCACCAGCAGGAAAGTTGGTGTTTACTGACAGCAGACAACAGACTAAAGCTGTGAATGAGTACGGGGAAGACGTGGGGGTAGGAAAGAGTAATGTGACAAGATGGAATGGGCACCCCTAAGGCAGAGGAGAGTGAACATTTCAGGGTCGGTGGGAAGATATCCTCAATGCAGTACAGCACCTGTTGTGGGTCTTAAGGGAGAAGAAGAGAGAAAACTGAGGCTCCCTTAACTCTGCCTTGCCCTGGAAGGGTGGGAGGGAGTGGTGTCATTTTATCATGCCTCCTCCAAACAGAGATTTTATTTGAGCCATTCTAAGGCCAGACAATGTCCTAAATAGACTGAAAATAAGAGGATGAGTTAAATGGAGCCGACAATCTGAGACACAAATAACCATAAAATACATGTAAGAAGACTGTAACACAGAATAGTCCAGGAAAAGGTGAAGCTTCTCAGTGGGGACAGAGGGATTTTTGAAGAGGAGAAATTTGATGTGGGTTGTAGAATAGCGTTCTGACATATTGGGGAGGGGAGAAGAGGACATGCAGACAGGGAGAATCAAGGGGTGTCCCAGGGATAAGAAATGCTAAACATCTCAGATGAGATGTAGCATCTGAAATTGGTCGGAATGTCATGTGTACAGGAAATAGGACAGAGAAGGGGAAGGAGCAGACATTTCAAGATTTGAATGATTGTTACAACATCTATTTAGAATCATGTGTAGAGAACACACACACACATATATACACATACAACATATACACACATTTTCGAAGTGCATACATACACATATAAACACATTCACATATATAAATGCATTATGTACTATCTATACAGATTTATTTCATCCCATACTGAATAAAGAATGCTGAGGTTTTTAATCCACCCAATATATTGAAAAAGCAATTTTAACATTTCTATATTTGTGGGTATACAGGGTTCTGAAAATGGAGTTTGAACTCAGAATGAAAAACAGTTTGCAAGGAATGCCATGTAATCAGTCCTCTGGCTAACTTGTTGCATACTGGTGAAACGGGGACAGGCTCTTATAAGGAACAGATGAAAACAGGGCCCCTGCAGCTGTTTGGGGCGTAAGCATTCCGATGACCAGCACACTTGCCATCCCTGTTACAACGTGCCTTGCACAGCCTCTTCCTCAGGAAGAGTGGCAAAATCATGGGCTGAGAGACCAGAGCAGAGACTCTTGGTGCATCTCTAGATGCTTCCCTGATTGGCTGGACCACCTCAGCTCACTGCTGAGCGCTGCTGTGGCAGAGAGCCCAGGGAAATCTCTCTGCAGGTTCTCGGGGCTCCTGAGCCGAGTTTCAGAATCTGCAGATTTTAGAGCAGTGGCAACACTTTCCAAAGGTACCTTGCATTATTGTCGTCAACGTGGAGCAGCTATCAGGCTGGAAGTTGCCCATACCCAGGCCGTGTAGTAATTCCTCCACGAGCCTCTGGCTGCTGGTTTGCCCAGGACCCAGCAGCTTTCTGACTTTGCACCATCACTGTCACTGGCCTCTTCTGGACCTGGGCAGACACTGCACCTTCCAGGATGCCAGACTCTAGAACAAGGAAAGGGTGGGAAGAGGGAGACAGTCATAGTTCTGTGCAGAAAGCTACTTGCAAGTTTAAGACATGGCCCAGTAAGTTTTCTGGAATTAGTTTCCTTATCTTGAAAATAAGAATGAGTAGAGCTCCCTCTGAGGGTTGGTGAAAGTGGGGTGTTTAAGAGGATGCAAGGGTTTCTATTAGTCTCCTTTCCCATAAGATGTCCTCATACATGTTGTATGTGGTTACATCTTATAGAATCGTAGACTGTTAGAGATCAGGGTGTTTGCAGTTGGCCTGGGCAGGCCAACCCCCACTTTCTTTAAATTATACAACCACATGCTGAAATGAGATAGCAAGCCTGAAACCACACAGCCAAGTGAGGGTTGAACTCAAAACCCCACATCAATTGTTTTCTCAGTGAGGGGTGTTGTTTGCTGTTCTCCTTCACCATGGATATTGTTGGCTCAGTGCTATTATCCACTATACAGGGAAAAGCCAATATACGCCCTCATAGTTTGATCTAACTCCTGCTCAAGCAACAGTCCCTCCCCTCAGGAGGGCTTTCATCAGAGGCCATGGCCGCAGGGTAAAGTTTGTTTTTCACCCTTATCAGAACTGGCCTGGCCTCAGAGGTGGATGCTCCCAGTGACATCTCCCCTAGGGTTCATGAGAGACATTTAAAGAAATAAAAGAGATCTGAGTGCATTTGTATACTATGGCTTTAAACTCACTAAAGAAGGTGCTATTAAAAATGCAGCAGAAAGAAGAAAATGTACAGGATAAGATCTCTTAGAGAATTGAAGTGATACAATCGCTGAAAACCAGGTCTGGGCCAATCTTCACAGAAGCTACTGATAGAGTAGCAATGGAATGACTCACTGTGGGGTTGGGGCTCACAGGCAAGGAGGTGAAACCAGGAGAGCCCAGTGGATTAGACGACACGTACAGACTGAGGGACTGCCGGGCTCTGAGGCTGAAAACCAGGGTGAACCTGACCGAGGATTAGTGAGAGGTGGTTGAAAAGGTGGTTAAGGCAGAGCAAGGGCGGAGCAAGCTTTGCCATCTACGAATGAGACCATTGTTCCCTGCGGGTGTGACGCTGGGCACATGAGTGTGCAGAATCAGAGGAGTCAGAGAGGGTCCCAGTCATAGGGAGACACTCAGATGGTGGGTGGACAGCCATCAGCAGGGGACAGCAGAGGACAGACTAAGGCTGTGATTGAATGTGGAGGAGTCTCCAGTTGTCAGAGCAATAGAGACAGGTATGGGGATGGCAGCCCACTGGCAGAGGAGAGTGAGCATTTCGGGGTCCGGAGTAAATATCCTCAATGCGGTGCAGAGGGACCGGTGTCAACACCTGTTGAGGCCCTGAGGGGGGCAGATGACACTGAGCCCCCCTGCCTCCATGCTGCCGCTGGAGGGGTGGGCAGGATAGTGGTGTTCTTGTATGGTGTTCATCTGAGAAGAGATTTTATCTGAGACTGTGGAACAAGGCATCGTTTGAATGCACCAGACAATCTGAGACACACCAGCAAATAGCTACAAAACAATCTAAAAGGCTCAGTGCACAAATTATAGTCCAGGAAAAGGTGAGGTTGTTCAGTGGGAACATAGGGGACACATTCTGAAGGAGAAGGGACTTGAGGTGGGTCTTGGAATAGCGCTAGACAGACGGTCTGGGGAGGGGAAAAGAGGGGGTGCAGACAAGAGATGCTTGAGGTGGCCCAGGAACAAGAAACACCAAACTGTTCAGATTGACGTAGCAGCTGAAAGTGGTTAAAGCCCAGTATGTACAGAAATAGGGCAGAGCAGGGGAAGGAGCAGATTTGGTAAGAATATGGTGGCCATATAGGGGATCTTGACTTGTTCCATGAAATAGCAGTTGCTAAAGTTTTTGAAATTCACTCTATTACTTACATGCTTTTATATGCATCTCGTACATGTATGGCTATTTACTATGTGTATTTACACCACTAAGATATAGACTTAACTAACTAGAATCCAGGATTAATTCCTTTCTTTGTAGTAAAGACAAAAAAAAATGATGTGAAATGCTGAATCATAAGACACAGTCTAGGAAAAATGTTCACAAAAGTCATGTGTGGTAAAGTGCTGCATTGAAAATCAAAAATAAGGAATTGAACACCTCCATTAAAAATAGGTAAAAAAGGGCCCTCCATGGTGGTGCAGCGGGTTAAATCACAGCACTAAGAAGCTTAAACCACTACCGCATGAGTCGAACATTTGTCACAATCAGAGAAGCTGCACCAACTCCTCACTATCCCAAAGTCCATGGTTCAACTTAGTGTCTCTTCCTAGGGTTTGAACAAATGTGTATAATATCCTCTAGGATATTATATCCACCATTATAATATCCTAAAGTCTAGTTTCACTGCCACGACAACCATCCACACTCTGTCTGTGCCTCCCTGCCTCCCCTCAGTTCCTGGCAACCAAGATATTCCGTACTGTTTCTGTCATTGCTTTTTGTAGAACACCATGCAGTTGGAATCTTCAGTTTGTAGCCTTTCATATTGTAAAGAGCAGAAGCAACTAGATAAAAGTGAATAAACAACAACCATACTTCCACCAGCAGGATGGAGCCCACTTGCAGCTACCAGGCAGCTAGACAAGAAACAGACTCAGCAAAAATTCTGCTCAGACTTCCACCTGCTGATGCCTGCTGTGCCAAGACTACAGACATACTGCCCCCAAATGAGAGGAATCACTGCTATTTCCTGCACCCCAAAAGATGACCCAACCTGTCACCCCCTACCTTTCTCTTGCCCATGCAATAAAAGAGCTTTCTACTTGGTTGGGGTGCTGCCCTCTCTGCTTGTAGTATCTGCTGCAAAAAAACAACTGCTTTTACCTTTTGAACGACATCTTTGTTGACCTGTGTTACCCACCCTGACCCTCTGGCCTAACACGTTTCACTTAGTGATATGCATGTGTGATTCCTCCATTTATTTTCATGGCTGATTCCCATGATTTTATTCTAAATAATATTCCGTAGTCAGGGTATACCGAACTGTATTGTCCGTTCACCAACTCAAGCATCCTTGGTTACTGCAAAGTTCTGGAAATGATGAATAAAGCTGTCATACAGTGTGGCAGTCGTTGTTTGGAAAGATTTCATTCCATTTTGTTAACTACTGAGTATTGTGACCATTGGGTCAGATGATGAGAGCATGGTCAGTTTTGTGGAACCAGCCCTATTGCCTTACAAAGTGACTGTCTTCTTGCTTCACACCAGGCAGGAAGGATTCACTGAAAAGGGTGATAGCAAACTTGAACCTGCAGCCATGGTCTCTGATGAAAGCCCCCTGAGGGGAAGGACTGTTGCTAGAGCAGGAACTAGATGAAAACATGGGGGTGTATATTGATTTTACCCTGCAGTTAATAAATAACAGTATTTAGCCAACAAGCTCCAACATGAAGTAGAACAGCAAGACAAGAAACCCCTCACTGAGAAAATAACAGATTTGGGGGTTGAGTTCAACCCTTGTGTAGCTATATGGTTTCAGGCTTGCCATATCATTTTTCAGGAAGTGGATTGTGTCATGCAAAGTTGCCCAGGCCAACTAAGAACACATCAATCTATAACAGTCTACGATTCTGTGAGACATAACCACATACAACATGTATGAGGACATGTTATGGGAAAGGAGACTAATAGAAACTCTGGTATCCTCTTAAACACCCCACTTTCACCAACCCTCAGAGGGAGCTCTACTCATTCTTATTTTCAAGATAAGGAAACTAATTCCAGAAAACTTACTGGGCCATGTCTTAAACTTGCAAGCAGCTTTCTGCACAGAACTACG